TAGAACATACAACAGTTTGTGAGCATCAACTAGAAAAAGTAGAGAAAAAAATGAACAAAAGGTATGAGCATGTACTTTATTAGAGGGAAAAAATCCAGAAACTAGTAAGTTCAAAAATAGGAGCTCAAAAGAAGCCAAGGGAAACATTAAAAATAGCCTCAGGCTGCTAGTAGAGTCCCTATGAAGGGCCAATGGGGAAGCAGAGTTAGCATATGCATTCCCCATGAGGCCATAATGCCACTCCAAATACATTCTTAGGCAGGCCTTATAATTGAGTATATTTAGAAATGTTTATTATAGTTCTATTTGTGAGACAAAGAGGAATTCTGGATGTCCATTGTTAGCAAAATGATATAATTTGCAACGATGTATGATTTACAATAATGAAGACCAGTGTGAAGTATGAGTAAATTGAATGAAAGCTGCAAAATCTACCTTGAAAGTTATTAAGGAATACCCAAGTGGATGGAGAGTCATACCATATTCATGGATTGATAGTACCAATTAATATCAAATAATAATTGACTATCCCAAAATTCCCTTTCAGATTTAATAAGATCCTAACCAAAATTCCACGAATGATTTTAACAGAACTTGCCCCACTGATCTATGATGCACATTCAGAAGAACAAAGGTCCAAGATAAATTAAGAGATTTAAATGATTTGATGTAGTTTGTCTTAGCAGAGATCTAAACAGACCTGATGATATATTTAAAAAACAGCTCTCACTTTAAAAGGAATAAGAGATGATTTATTCTAGAGCCAAATATGAGTAACCATGGTCCAGGACACAGATGTACATTCTCCTAAATCCATGTTCTAGTATAGTAACAGTTTTATGAAGTCTCTATAGTAAAAGAACAAGGAAAATCATAAATCAAAACACATTTCTAATACATCAGTGGACACATCAGGTAGGTGGTAACAGAAAGGAAGGGGAACCTCTACCATGGGCCTGGTCTGTTATCTAATGACCCAGAAGTCAGACCAGAGGTGGACTGGCAAATGAATAGCTTAGGCAGGGCCTAAGATAGCCCAGGAGATCTCGCCAGGGACCTACGACACTCCCCATGAGCACTGAAACTCCAGCGAGTTACTGAGCCTTTGGAGGATGTCCAGTGCAGATGCTGCTTCTCTCGGGCAGCTTGGGCTCAGGGCAATAAATTAGGTAGCACTGCTCCGGTGAGGAGAACAGGAAGGAGACACCGGCCAGGCAAATCAGGGTCCATTTCTCTCTTGGCTAAAAGCCACAATGTCCCTGGGCCTCTTGTACCCTCATCCATGCCAGAGGCTTGAGATGGCAGAAGTGTTGGGGGCCCTGAGTGCTCACCTAGTTCCTGAATGATCTGAGGGTTACCTCTTCTGAAAGGAGAAGTTGGAACAGCAGCATCAGCCCATTAAGAGAAAACCCCTTCTGGTCGAAAGACTAGACTCTCCGCCAGAGTGGACACCTGACATTCCAGATGGACAAGGTCAATAACCTGACTGAGGGACCACCCTTAAGGAGGCAGGACCTCCCTTCAGAAAGCCAAGACCACCTCGCTAGGAAGGCAGGTTCACCTTAAGCCATGTTACAGAGTTAGACAGGATAATTATTTCACTGATGAAATCCTGTGCTTTTCCTTTCTAGAATCACCACCACCACCACCACCCCAAGTGCAGTCCATACAAGCTGAGCCACCGTGAGGTTCAGCCGGGTCTGCCCACCCTTCTGAGTCCTAATTCAGAAGGATACAGCTTTCCCTCCCCCGTCTCTCCCTCTCTCTCTGTGAATGCTGGCCAGAACCTAAGTGTTCCTTTCCTCATATCTCAAGCGTCTTTACCTTCTCTAAAGCTCCCCTCGCCATGTGGCTGCCCTCCACCATATGATGGTCCTCCATGCCCATAACTCAAACAACATGGCGTTTTCCTTCTCTCTACCAGGCAGCTGTCGAGATTTATGGCACGCTTGCCCAACCACCCAGGGTGTATTTTAAACTTTAATAAAATTGTCCTCAAGCTTCCAATTGAGTTCATTCTTAAATTTTTTTTTTTTTACTAATGAGGCCAAATCCTAAGAGAAGACTCCAATTTCTCTATATCATTGGCTCAAAATGACAAATAGGCTAGTGAGATAGACCCACACTGAGACAGACCCACAGTGAGATAGACCCACAGTGAGACGGACCCACAGTGAGATAGACCCACAGTGAGATAGACCCACAGTGAGATGGACCCACAGTGAGACAGACCCACAGTGAGACAGACCCACAGTGAGAAAGACCCACAGTGAGACGGACCCACAGTGAGACAGACCCACAGTGAGATAGACCCACAGTGAGATAGACCCACACTGAGACAGACCCACACTGAGACAGACCCACAGTGAGAAAGACCCACAGTGAGACGGACCCATAGTGAGACGGACCCACAGTGAGACAGACCCACGCTGAGATAGACCCACACTGAGATAGACCCACACTGAGATAGACCCACAGTGAGACAGACCCACAGTGAGACAGACCCACAGTGAGATAGACCCACGCTGAGATAGACCTACAGTGAGCTAGATTGAACAGCCAGAAACAAACTCTCCTCCACGGGAAACTGATTTATAGCATTCCCATAGCAGAGAAGGACTGATCAATAGAGTGCACTGGAGCAATTGGTGATGTGGAAGGTGGTAAAGTTAGGCCCATACATCATGCATAACAATAAATCACGGGGAGGTTAAACGTTTAAACAGGGAAACTTTAAGAACTAAAATCAGAAAGAAATGACTAATTGCTAGTGTTCTAAAATTCTTCCAAAGACATCAAAATGAAAGCGCAGAGCCAACACAGAAAATACTATCAACCACTTGTAACAAAGACAACTTCATAAAGAAACATAAAACATGTGAACGAGCACTTTATAGAAGGAACCTGAACAGTCAAGAAACATGAAAAACTATTCAACCTCTTTAGGAAATATGGAAATTGAAATAAAAACCACAGTGGGAAATCAATAAAACCACCAGACCGGTATAAATCAGAAGAGCCACCATTTGTCAAAGGCCAGGAGTGGCCCAAGACTGCACTGATGGCCTGTGAATCGGGCAGATGTCCTAAGAACCCTCCTGGCAGCAATTCCCCTCCTGGATGTACGCACTTGTGCTATTTCAGAGCAGAGCGCTGCAATTGGATCTATTGCAGTACAACCCCAACGTTACCCAGCCAAAGTTAGTGCAGAGGCCCACGGGGTATGGGCCAAGTCCATCCCAGGACCCTATCCAGAAACCACTGGCACTTCGGACCCACTGGCCAGGAAGTATGGATTCTGCAAACCCACCCCCCTGGCTTTGACAATTTGTTAGAATGACTTCCAGAGCCTAGTATATATGTCAAACTTAACACTCACAGTGAGGGGTGGTCATAAAATGAGCTGGGTGGTCCTGGGTTCAGAACCTTAGTGCCCTCTCTCTGAGCCGGAGTTTATTATCCCACCCAGGAAGCCCCACTGAGCTTCATCGACCAGAGGTTTTTACTGGAGTTCCATTGCACAAACATGATCAATAAGTCCTGGCAATGTGCATGAAAGACATCTTTAGCCCTCTCCTGCCCCAAGAGTTCAGGCACCTGAACTCCCATGCCAGCTGGACGGGAGCCCCCACCTGAAGTCAGGGACTACAGGAGTCACCGAATTAGCATGACAAAGATGTTCCTAGCACTAGGGAGTTTCCAAGGTTTTTTGTTTTTTTGTTTTTTTTGTTTTTGTTTTTGTTTTTTTTGAAACTGGGAAAATAAATTCTTTACTATACAACAACCCTAGAGAGATTCTTCCCGTGAGCCCCGGGAGACATTTACAAGAACATGCAAGGAGCATTGTTCATAACGTCTATAAAGAAAGCAAAGTAAACAACCTAGATGCCCTGAGTGTACCAGGAAAAATCCATGCAGTACAATGATACGCATGCAATGATGGTGGGGGCCACTGATTGAAAAGAAGGCTGAGAACCACACATCTCCCCTTGCTCCTCTGTGACTACATGACTCTGACTACAGGTGGGCATGCCTCTGCCTAATCTCAGCCGCAGACTGCAAGAGTCTTACATGAGTGCACCCTTCTCCAGTAAGCATGAAGAAGGCTGGCTATCTGACCACCACTCATCCCCATCCCTGAGTGTGTGGACCATGGAAAGGGACCTAGCATTGTTTGATCAGACTCAGAGCGTTAGTAATTAGCAATGGCATGGAAAGGATCTACGATGTCTACACTCAACACTGGGGCTAAATAGAGCTGAGTCTGTGTTTCTGATAGGGATTTGCACCCAGGAACCAGCAACCAGCAAGAGCCAACATGGCCCAAGGACACCTGTGTGCTCTGCCTAGGGATGGACACGATTGCCATTTCATCTGCACGAGGAGGCAGCTGCCTCTTTGGCCCAGCCCAGGAGAAGTACTGAGGCAGCAGAGAAACTCTCACCCCTTCCCACCAGTACACCACACACAACCCCCACAGCCAGGTGCCTCCTTGTAAGAGAGCATCAAGGGGACCCTTCAATTCACTGACCATTCCCCAAAGATCAAAGTTCAGCTCAGGATTGAACTAAGTGCCCCAGAGGGGCAAGATTCAGGTGTTCTTCGTAAAAGGGGGTGGTGGTGGTGGTGGTGGTGAGTTTGAATCTAGGGATTAAACAAAATTCATTTTTACAAACTAAAAGGCTGAGTGTTAAAAACTGTCTTCCTCCAAAATATTACAGCTAGTACACAGGTATAAAGATAGATGACAGATAGAAATGATAAGTGATAGGGATGCGTGGGGGTAGACAGGTGGATGACAGCCAAACAGACGGACAGATTTAGGCAGATAAACACACATATCTTTGTTAATCACTTTTAAGCAAAATCTAAATCCCACAGGACACAGTGTTCTGTGGCTTTCTTCTTTCAATCCCAAGGGCATCTCGGGCTCTGTGACCAGTCGTTTGCAGAGTGTTCACAAGCTGAATTCTATATAACCCTGATTTCAGGATAATTACCTTGCCCTTTGTGTCCTCTCTTCTAAGAAAACATCCTTTCATGGATCAGGGCCCCGTTTGTCTTACTCCTGAAGACCCGAGTTGTCATTGTTCCTCTTGAACCGTGCTGACTGGGATAGCCTTGCTTCTGCCGTGAGATGTGGGCTGAGATGTGGGCTGAGCCTGCAAAGACACGTCTTTCCAGGGTACGGTGCTCACCAGCAGGGCCTGGCAAGGGTTGGAATTTGGCCATAGCCTTCTGAACTTCCAACTTACGGGTCTTTTTCCAAAATTGACAAGACGTCAAAGGCACCACCTTTGGCCTTGCAAATTGGCCCACCCCACCCCTTACCCCCGCCCTACCTCC